TTATTTCACGACAAACTTGGACGGTTTGCCGTGAGATGGCGCCAGATATTTCGGTAATTTTATTTATTTAAAAAACTAAATATTGGTGAATTATTAGTGTAAAAATCTTCAATTAGAAGCTGAATTATGATAATGCCGATGTAAAATTATATTAATATGCTGAAAAAAGTGAAAAATGTGAATATATGTAAAAAGTTAGTTCGGTCCCCGCCGCTAGATGGCGATACTGATTTCGTGTCCATTAACTTGCCTATATGCTCTTATGTATGGGAAATATGTGATTGCAATGAAATTAATGGATAATAACGAATAATTATTAACAATTATAGAGCTGTTCGTTCATATTTCACAATATGAAATACCAATAAGCGCAAATTAACACCAAACAAAAAGTAACAAAGGAAAGTATGCAGACGATTTAACTTCCTCCCACAGAGCCACGAATATAGATGTACAACCACCGTGATGTTCGAATGTCAGCTGCGGTAATTGTACAGAGTTACAGTAAAAGCAAACATTCGTCTTCCTCGGCAAGCCTCGTCAGTTAATCTATCACAGACATCGAGGGAAACACGTCGCCCCTGTAACAATAACTGCCGATGATAAAGCCAGAAGCAACGTGATTCATGTTTTGAGACTCGCTCGAATCACTATTTTCCGAAAAGTTCGGCTCACGCTTCGATTTGGTGTCGGTTTTATGAGGCGATGATTGACGAAGACCACGCACACCACCTGGCCGCATCGTGTATTCCTCGCGCATTACTGCGGAACCATAGGCGATGTCAAAAAATAGCGATGCGCGAACGTTCCTGCGACATTTCTGAACAAACGATCGCAAGAAAGACGTTAAATTCATTTATCTCAACGTGAAATAAGAATAAAGTTCGACTGGAAATCAAAGTGTGGATACATTCTTGAAAGAAGAAATGTATCGTTTCTAAAGGTACGACTTTTTCCTCTTTTAAATTTCTTTTGGTACGATAAAATCCTTTGATGAAAATTCATTTGCGACCAACCTCGAACTCGCGACGAGTCGCTGGGAAAATTCGTCCAACCGATTCTTTATCACTTCTTTCCAGTCAGCTGCGGGGTTAAATCTCGATTAGCCGGCGTATTAAAATTTATTACAGCCACGCTGGTCCGCGTACATGGGTGGAAAAATCACGGGAAAACCCCAAGGATCGCCCACGCCATCCAGGTGTAATGTCTGCGAATCAAGAGAACGGCCGAGGGTTTCTTTTGCTTCCAACGCTCGCTGCTTTCGTTTCCGCAATATCGAGAGAACGCTCCCTGGAAATCAATTATCGTCACTTAATATTCATGCATTCCCATCGACGTCCAAGAAAACGCAAATGGAAATCAGGGAGTCGAGATTGCGCAGTCGGGGCTCCAGCAAGAAGGATAACAAAAAGACTGGCGCCGTTAAATAATTACAGTCGGCATCGGCTGGATGACTGTGCCGTTATAAACAATTATCGCCATCGTGCTTCTTTTCCAGCCACTTTGAATCGACGATGAGTCCGCCATGTTTTCGTTCGTGCAATGGCTGTGAACAATACAACCAATTTTTCATGTCTTTCAGGATAAATGAGTTGTTCGTTGCACAAATCGATTAACTCCACCAGTCATATAAAAATTGTAACATCACTGGCGATTATTTTTTGGCTATTCTGTATTATTAATTTTATACAATTCTCAACTTTTTGTTTTATGGAGTCGATCGATTTGTGCAATGGACGGCTCAAGTGATCGAGGGAAGATTTTATCTACCTGTACCCGTAAATAATAAAAGAAATCTTTTAAATCTATTGTGGGGGCCAACCCTTTCCTCTTGATTGCGGCACTGGTTCTTCGGTCCAGCCGGAAGATTCACGGACGTTCCGCAGACGTGGTGTGCAATTAAAAGTTTCCAGAAACTCCTCTGTCGACCGTTGTTCCGATGATGTTTCCTCGGTTGTCGTCGAGGGACCAATTATTCGAATACCAGAAGCGTTGTTGGCACAATTCGCTCCTACTCGAGGAGAGGTCAGTCCTTTTCTCGACTCTTCAATCCGCGAGGAATTCGCCGGCCGAGTGGGCGGCGATCAATTGAATTCGGATCCACACGTGGTGCACCGGGATCTTATTATAGATTCATCCACGATCTTCAATGGCGTATCGATGATTCAGCTGCCCCGATCGCGTGACTCACGCGAAAAAGAAACCAAACACCTATGGGTGTACCGATTTTATGATCCACAAAATCGCGATCAACCGTTCGCGAGACTCGCGAGCATGAAATTCCTCGAGCGTTCGATCCGCGTTTTGCGCGGGTAAAACAGGCAAGTTTACCGATCTTCGTTTACACGCGAAACTTTACCGTTTTCGGGGCGGATAAATACAACGGACATACCCGAAGTAACTTATGGTTTGTTACTTCCGTGATGTAAAACCGTGGTCTGAATTTATGTTGAACAACAATGTTCTGGGATGCTGTAAATTATTATACTCTGGATAGAAAAGGAATTATATGTCAAAGCACAATCTATCGATAGAAAAATAAATGTAAAGATTCGATGTCTGGACCTTCTAGAGCAACTATGTAGGTCGCGTCGTCTCGAGGAAGCCAGAAAAGATCGAGAAAAAGAAAGAGGCAAACATAGAAAAGTTTCGAGAATCGTTGTGCCAGTTATCATTCCGTAGGTCAACCGTGCGGTACCCATTAGGGTCGCGGGTCCGAGTCACCCTCTCGAGACGTTGCTTACGCAAGGATTCCTCGACGTCGTTTCGTCGTGCATAAACAGAGTGGTTCACCAGTGATTTTCCCGCGAAACGATTCAGTGGCTCATATATGATTGAAAAGCTGATCGTACGTGAACGGAATCCTCGCCAAGATTGACTCGGTTAAGATCGATCTGTATGCTTGGCACAGAATCGACGCTGGGGCGTCGTTAAGGGTTGGTCCCTGCTCGTAAAGGACACGTTCCGTCGGGTTCCCGCTCCTGCCGATGGGAAAAGGCAACGAACCAGGGGACACGAGGAAACATCATCGCGTAATCGTCGGCTCGAAGACGATGTTGTAAGCCCGTGTCAGAAATGGAAGGAACTGATCGAATATCCTCGGCCATATTGCCAGCCGTCCGATGGAACGGCTCGAGGAGTCTTTTATTTGATCGTGAAACGTTTTGTGGCTGCCCGATATAGATCGCTTTTATTTCTTCATTAGAACGCTTCGACGGGGTTGTAACATCGGCGAGTCGTAACGCCAGGTATTCCGACCAGCTGCGGTTCCACGAAATGGTCGCGTTATGGTCGTTCCACGAGGACGTCCAATTTGTACGATTTCTTCGCTCTTTGATTCAAAAGCCGTCGCGACTTCCGTGCGGCCGGATGTCCGCAGAAAGAACAAATTCCGGACAAATTGAATGTGCCAAGCTCCCTTCTTGGCCAGTCGGTGAGTATCAGTGTTTCACCGAAAATTATTTGAATATATACATATAAATAATCCACTCATCGACACGTGTCAATCATAGTGTAGCTGCTGTTCATCCGAATTTGTATCACCCACCATCCGTTTTCGATACAGCGATTATTTAGTTCATCTGGGAACGTTGTTCACAAAAAACATACAGCACTTCCTCAATTTTTGTTCCCCATTGCAGCTTTCAGCGGAAGCCCTGGTTTCACTTAAGTTGTTTAAATTTTGTGTTCTTGTAAGAAACTCCAGACGAAACGCCTTACTCTATCCAGACCGCGTTGTACACTGTGCGAGCAAATTCAATTGCACGAATCGCATGACTGCGCCACGCTCATAGTTGCTAACGACCCCGTTGACCTTTTCCGCGATTCATTTCATGCATATCAATGTTCTCTACTCCCTGTGTTAACAAATCAAAGCAAACGTTGTTCAAAACTTGGCTCGATCGACTAATTTTCTTGTACTCCATTTTTTCATCAAAATTGGCACGAACTTTCTGGACAGCCCATTGTTACGATACTAATTCTTGTATTCGATATTTCTTATGTCACCCTTTCCCTTCGATAATGACTCGTGTCAGTTAATCGATGGACGAGTAAGGTCTGTCGCAGACGTCTCAACAGACATTAATCGTAAGAATAAATTAACTTCGGCAAACACCGTCATACAGAATGATAAATATATAACGAGGACGACGTTCAACGCAACTCCTTTGAGATCCCTCGTCCTCGGATCCGTAGCTTCTGGGAGGATTTACAAATCCAGGGAATGTAAACCCCAACGTGAAACGAGAACTGGAGAACTTTACTGGCAAATAAAACTCAATTTGTTCGGTATTTTCAATCGGATACCTCCAGCTTAATATTCCTCCAGACTTCTACAAACCGCTGGAATAGGAGTAATTTTATTTCAACGAGCACAGTCGACGCGATCTTCGCTGCGCCTTTGCGACGCACCGCGACTAACAGGATCAACGTGCACCGCCAAGATGGTCTGCAGTTTCACGGTTCGTTCTACTTTTGCGGTGTCTTCGGGAACCTGACGAGACAAACTCCCGTCTCCGTCACAGCTGTTTCGAACAACTAAATTCACTTTTCACCTAGATACACCTTGGATTAGAATATTAACAAATTTTAAGAAATGTACTTAGATACGTGTGAAGAATTTGGACATTTATTTCGTATCATACGAGATTCTAAGTTCTTGGACTATCGAGAAATTTTCCCGAGGGCACTCGCGAGATCAATAACGGCTGATTCCGCGAAACGCGAAAGGAAAGGATCGTCTAATTTTGGCAAAGCCGGCAGCCACCTTCGATTTCCGATCGCGTTCCGCAACGCAACGCAGCTCACCATGTTTCAGAGACTTCGTGCCGGGTTTATCGTCGTGGGTGTGTGTTGGTCCGTCCTGTTATTCGTTTATTATGCCAGCCGGTTTGGCTGGCTTATATTGTGCCGGCCAGCGCGTTGTAAACGGCCGGCTGGCGCTGTTCTCGAAAATCGTTGTCGATACATCCTCCTCGATCTCGCTCGCGATTTCATTTTCCTCGCTGTCGCGCGAGCTCGAAGAACCTCAGACGCGAGAGGACGCGAATCCAATCGGGATTAACGGCTCTAATTAACTTCCAAGTGACGCGACTGGAAAGAATTAGTTGTCGAAGAAAGGCGAAAAACTGTGAGCTTTGCAGACAATTATTTGGTAAATAAATAACAGTGGCAGGAAACAATGGACTCGAAGAAGGTACTTTTGTTCGTAAGGTCAAGGCCATAAGCGCCACTGTCGTAGAAGGTGAAACGTTTTAGTTTGAATTTGAAGAGTCGTGAAAATATAGTGCACGAAGACAAGATACGGAAAGTGACGCAACAACCTAATCGTTTCTTTAATCTACTGTATTATCGAGCACTGTCGCTAGTATTTCTGTACAATTTTCTCAAGTATCGAATCGAGTTTTTTTCTTTTGCGAAAAAGGTGGTGAATAATTTATCACGTCAAGTATGCGCGGGAATTTCACAAAGAAATTCGGTATCGCGTTTTACGCGATGCTGGTGGTCCAGTGAAAGTTTCTGAGAAACGTGGTATCCTTTCTGGGAAAGAACGAAGCCACCCGATGGATCGATCGAGCGATAAAATGCGAGCAAGAGGTCTCTTCGTGGCTCTTGGAGATTTTGTTCGCTCCTCGATGGCTCGTGTTGTCGCTTGAATGCGGAACGCTTCAGGGATCGAATCACGAGGCGACTCTGATGATCTATGCCCGAGAAGGAAGAAAGGTTACTCGGTGAATCCGGCGAGATATTTCCATCGCGGAGGATTATTTGAATCTGTTCGGGAAAGGTGCTCTATGTCATTGTCACGACCATGCCTCTCAGGTCGGAAGCCTCCTCGTCGAGGGACACCCTCGATACTGCCACCACCACCACGGTTAGTGCTATTTCACTTTCAGACACTGTGTACCTTTTCTTGATACTTTGGCTTGGCGACGATTTCGCGATTTCTCCTTCAGAGGTGTTACGTCGACAACAAGTGGAACAACTTTTTAAATAATTATATTCAAAAACAGTGCGATATAGCTGAACATCGTTGGATATAGATACTCGTGTATTTTAACGAGTATGTAATTAGATCGCTATGCAGGTTGCGTTTCGACGTGTCTGACCTATGAGGTTCATTCTATTTATCGAGAACGGACCAGGACCCATTCTATCTGACTGATCAGACCCTTATTCTGCTTTTCTAATTACGAACAACTTTTAATTTAAAAACTTGACGAATAACTATAGGTGCAAATGATTATCTGTGTTTCTTCCTAATTCTCTCAACTGTTTTACTTGTAGACGATAATTCATTTCGTTATGACAAGCTGAGATTGCGATTTCTCTATCGAGAATTTTAGTAGGTCAACGTTACGAACGTAATCGTTTCAAAAGATATAGCGTCTACTAGAAAAGTTTTGGAAAACATAGTACCGACAACCGTTTTCCCGCAACTCGGTCTTTCACGAGTGAAAATTTAGTACAGTTCGATGCGACTTTCGTTCCGGCTGCCGGCGTTAACCTCGGATCGCTTGAACTTTCGCAACGATCCTTTTACAGTCTTCGACAAGCTTCGAGGTGAAATGGGTGCTCTTCCCAGCTGTCATAAAACTGGGTTCTGCTTCTTTCAAAAATTACTCGAGTTTTAGACCTAGTAAAACATTCAATGAAGACAAGTGGCTACTCGTATTCGACGCATAAAATTTTTCTTGCGTATGGTGAAATAAAATTCACGAAAAATTCCTTTCATCAAACTTACGCACATACCACGGTGCGTTGATCACAGTTCTAAGTATAATCGATTGTGAAGATTCTAATTTTTGTTATAAATATTTTAACTACTTTAGTTTCAAGTACACGTTTAAATTCACCTCAGCTAGGAAACTCAAGTATTAGCACCTTCTAGCCAAAAGTTTCGTAGATCAAAAAGACACCAAGGCTTCTTTCTACCCATAAGAAAGTAATTTTCATGGTTGCAGGTATAGTTCGCGGTTTATCCGTCGAGATCATGCCCCGTGTTCCATATTACGTGGCTTTACTCTACGCGTATACTGCGATGGACGCCTCGGGTGCTGCTCGCGCAGCTTCCTGACGAAACAGATCGCGAAGCAGTTCGCTTCTGAGGGGCTATCTACATCCGGTGGTAGTTAAATTTAAATATGATAATAATAGGAAAACGTCGGTACACGCGTGCCACGTGCTCCCGGTCCCGTAACAGCGTCGAATGCAAAACAGGCAGCGAGGCAGGTTGAAATGGAGCTGTCGCATCGATACCGATCGTTATTTCCGAATTTTACGTCGTCCATCCCTTCGAAGGGGTGTCTTTCCTCTTTTTATCCCTTGGACAAAAGCCGTGATCGACGAGCAGCGTGGTTGAAGAATTCTTTGTTCAGCGCTCGCGAGTCGAACAAATAAATTCGGTCTTTCTCCACGGTTATATTTCTGGCGCTCTTTGTTCGAATCGAAGATAAACATACTCTCGCGTCCGTGGGAGGCCCTCATTATCGCGTAATCCTCTTTTCATATGATCTTGCATATCGTGGACGCTTTGTATTTTTCATATCGTTCCTGGGATCGTTGGATACGCTACTTTGGATTCAGATCCACAGAACTTGAAGTTATATTGCGTAACGTGTGTTTTGACCGAGATTCGGCCATGGATCTGGAGAAAATGAAGCAACGCGTTTGCAAAGACTATTGTCGCTGACCCGTCGCACATCCGACATTATTTTGCTTTTAGTCTCGTGCTGAGTATTTCTCTTTCAGGATCACGTTTTATAGCCAACTTTTACCTAACCTCGTCCATCACGCCGTTACGTTCGCGTTACACTCGCTACGTTGATGTATATAGCCTATTTTCTATGATATATAAATACGTTGTCCATTGTTTCGCTTGTTTATTGGCATGTTTATAGCCGTATAAAAATTCTAACGAGCGCAATATACGACAAAATTGGGAGAACTCGTTACAAATAATTGAAGGTTTAAAGCTCTATTTCAAATGACAATAATAATAATTACGCCATTGTTACGCACGTGTACTCGGAATTACAATTCCCAAACTGATTTTCATTGTGTACCTCGATTCGCGTAAACAGAAATTTATTTCGTTTACTCTGTTATGAAATCTATATACAATGATTTCTTTTTTCATATTATTGTACAACACGTTTAATATTTCGACGCTTTTGAAGGTGACCACAATCTGAAGTTTCCAACATAAAAAAATTACCAAATAAAAACATCATTCCCAACACCGACAAGCTATTCCTCACCTATCTTTCACCAACCAGCACACTTTTTTCTATTTAAAAAAGTCGCGAGAGTCTACCTAGCACGTAATTCTCGATCATCCATACATGTACGTGTCTGAGACGAACCGAAACCAAAAAATATCACCGACACCGACTGAAATTACGCCGAACGGCATTACACCGGCTCGAAACAGGCGAATCGCTAACCGGATGTTTGTCATTTGTTGACAGGACGAGCGACGACGCACCGGAAGATACGTCGCCGGCGGTGCT